TATATATATATAAAAGTTATACACAGCATATTTATATGATTACTACATTTAGATAATGTGCGCGCATAGGAAATCGACGCGCTCAAACGAGCTCAAGCGTCAAGATCTCTAAAGAAGGCACCGAGAATTCTAAATTCCCGCAACCTGCTTATATATTATAGGCGGCCTAGAAAGGTTTTTATCATAAATGCTGACCTGTGTCGCCGAGAGTGCCGACTGTCACTCCATCCTGTCGCGTCCACGAAGACACCCTAACGAATTCGCGGACATTGGTAGCCACGTGACACCGTAAAAGAGCTGAATTACCCCGCACAGCGTACGCGTCGAACACGGATGCGGTAAATTGGTGAGCCACAACTGAAACCGTCAATATTAGTGAATTGTAGATATTTGTTAATTGAGGTTGGCCACAAGAACAGAAAGAGATTTATTGTTTTACGCTTTCCTCTTACGCTAAAATTGACCTTGATTAAATTTTGCTAGTCAGAGCACTCGGCTTAAGCAGTCATAATTTTATTATAACAGATAATCCTTCTACGTTACTGTTGCTAGTAGGTCCTTAGAGAACTCTAAAGAAACGTCTACATAATGACTAAGATCAACTTTTTACCTAACAAATATCAGTTTTCATTCATTCTAAAAACACTTTGTATCACATATTCACACCAATAACAACCGTTCGCGTAACGTCAAAGCACAACAACTTTGATTTTTACTAGAAATAGTAACAACGCACCGGTACCAGGATAGCGGCGATTTACCTGAGTGACAACTCGTCTTTTTTATACCGATAGTAATGGAAATATCTAGAAATAAGTATAACATTGGTACGCGCTGCAACACTTAGCCGCATTATAGCCATCCGCTATTTCGTTTGGTTTAAGGCTATCTACACTTTAGTTTGTCCAGGTCTGATTCATACGATCAAACCGAATCTTTTTCCGAATCTTTTCTTGCCCATTGACGCTTGAGCAGATCCACCTCGGTGTTCTCTGCATCTGCTTGCCTCTCTAATTGCAAGTTCTTTTCAATCGGTGCAGACGTTAGGAAAAATGTCGTAGTCGATATAGGATGCCTACATGACAATATTGCTTCAGTTTACGCTCGTGCGATCTGCAACAGACCTGTTTCATTCGATTTGATACAGGAGCCCGTTGACGAATGCGTACCCAGGAACATCTGCTCCTATATCAAGTCTAACGATGATCTCGAGCAGGCGAGAACCCTCCTGTTGCGTTTTTTCAACAGCCGTCGTTCTAACCCTCCCCCCGCTGCAAGCCGGGCACCATCAGAAACCTTAGATCCGCAAGGATCCTTTGTTACGTGTTACAGTGATGCGTCGATTTTGGCTATTGCTTGCGTTTCGACGCCTGTCTTCAAAACGATTCTCTGTACCATTTCGCAGATGTTCCTGGGTGCACATTTGTCAACAGGCTTCTCTTTCAAACCCAAGGTAACACGGCGCTGTTGCGGGATTGCACGAGCCCAGGCTGGAGTCGCAACCATATCGTACCTTTCCGGGAAAACAGGTAGACATGCAGGACACCATTCAATTGCATTGATGATGCACTCGCCCCGCGACAAGTGCGATTTATTTGAACGACATCTCATTTTTCTATACCATTGGCTACGGAAATACCTAGCATTAAGTACGGTATTTGTATGCGCCGTAAAAGTACGTATCAAAAAGACTTCAAGTGTGACTTGAATATTTCGAAAAAATCCGTCTCATCATGCTGCCGCACAGAAGCTGAGATTTACAATATATGAGTATTCTGCCTCCTGTTCGTAAGAGTAATTCTTCCTAAAGACCATTTAGGGTCAACATGGAGAGTGCATTACTGAAGGACTAAAATATAATAGTGAAAATAATAAAAGGAAGGGTTTTAGTGTGTCGAAGAATATAGCATAAACAACGATATTAATTGTTTGCGCTTCGAAGCTCACACGCTGTTCTACACAGAGATTTCATCTTCCATGCCTATCGGTCACTCGAGTAAATTGACGTGCGTTTTTCGCATATATTTCTTTTTGGATCTGTCCAGACCCATAAACAGGCAAATTTCGCCCAACGTTCCTACTGGCCATAGCACAAACTGAAATTTGGGAATCTTTTGGGATGGCTATACCTATCTCTAAGTTGGTATGCAGCACAAAACCTATATCCATGGACGGGAAATAACCTCACCAATTTGCTTGACATAAGGAGAACAGCAGTTCTCTGTTAACGAAAATGAAATATACATAGAGTTTATGAACCTGCCGAGTAGGCTCAGTGGACCGAAGTCTGCAACAGACAACAAAGCTGTCAGATAAGTACTTGATAAAGGCCAGTAGACAGCAGTGTGGCACTAGAAACTGGGATTCTCCCAATATGTGCCTTTGACAGCGACACCAAAGGAAAAAAAGAAATATGAAGCGATTTTGGAAGCGTTCTAGAGGCTGTTTTTAGTTGACGTTGAGGTAGCATAGTTCTTGTGTACAGTAAATGGACAGAAGATGGATTGGTAATACCTGTCAGCCTAAACATATATATATCCTTCTCTCGGCGTTGTATTACTGTGCACGGCCGTAAGCATAAGACAACAACTATGAACTATACGATGCGATTCTTACTGTAGATATTACTCACTATATTTCTTGATTTATATATCATTTTTTTATATTTATATAATATTAGTTTTCAGATATTGGAGATACAACAATTGCCTGAAGAATCTATATGTAACAGTATACAATGTGGCGACAATGAAGCCTTCAAGCTTCCCGTTCTTCCTGGACGACGTCCTATCATTATCGCATCCATGTTTACATACTTAGGTCTTCCTCTGTTCTCAACGATGACGCTTCACGAGTGCGTTCAGAATGCAACGGCCAAACAGCTAAGATAGAGCGAGAGCAGTATATGAGAACTTTAGCACGACGACCCCTATATTTCCTTTCTCTTCCGTCCCTCTATACACCCCGCGTCCGTATGTTGAACCCCCTTTAGGCATGCGTTTAGCAAAGCAAGTTCAGCCATTTACTAGACAGCCTCATGCCGCGAGTCGAGGCGAATCGAGGTTGCAGATAGGCTGAAGCACGCGCGTGCAAGCTAGCTGAGGAACATTACATATTTTCAGCATCTATTACATTCATTTCCAACTTCAACGCTTGACTGGATGCATCCCGTCTTCCTCGCTTAACACCAACTGGAGTCTAATCTACGGTCCCCTCAAACACAGCGTTCCTTCCTTTCCTCCTCACTTTCTGTCTCCCTCAAGGGAGTGTAAAGGGACCGTCTATTGCTTCGACGTGCCGGCGGGTAACGACACGACGGCCATGGGAAGAACGCCAGCTTGGGCGCTATCTTGTGCCCCGTTCTCCCCCACCCGCCGAACCGTTGTTTCAAAGAATCAAGTCTCATCCCAACCGCCACTCCCGAAAGAGTAGAGAGATGTCATCAACGAACTCTTGGTTGAGTTCTCCAGCAAATTTACGGTGTTTCTGGTTCGCCTCTTTTTGACGTCGTTTGTGATAGTGATGGCAGCTGGCAAACACCAGCCGAACATCTAGGTGCAATCATACCAACTAGTAGAAGTCAGTAGTGTAGGATTTCAGTTGATCTGTAATAGAGAACAATGAATTGCACTTGCTGTATACAATGGAAGTGCCAATTACCATGACTCAGTGTGTCCGCGCTTGTTCTACTCCGGCAATGTCTTATAACTTTGCTTTACAGTCTTTCTCCCTCTCACAATATTTAGGTGGCATCCATTATACTTCGTTGTTTCGGTTAGCTGCATATCTACACTTATTGTTGTGCCCTCGTGTTGCTACTTCGTGCTGATTTTTTTCGTGAAGATACATACAACGTGATTCCTTATCAGTTCCCGTTTACCCTCAGCTCTAGCGGGTGTTTCGATAAGAGACTGGCAATAGGCTTGCTCCTGACGACTGTAACTATTGTTGTTCTTCGACGAACTTCCTACGAACGCCGAACGGGAGGCATTCTCCGAACATTTTATCGTCGTTCGTCCCGATACGTGCTGCATAATGGGAGTAAAGGAAAGAATTTTTACGTAAGCGAGCTGTCGACGAAAGCGATTGGCCACGTACGGCCAGTGGTTGTGTGAGCATTATAGATTATGGTAGAATTCCCAGTATCTGCCTCCGCTGGCGACTCTGGAGAGAAATGAAGGACGAGAGTTCACGGAGCGGTGGCAGCAGCAGTCTCGGTAGCGCTCTAGTTCCCTCAACGCCAGGTGCGTATGCTTGTTTCACATTTATCACACTAGCTATCTCGACTAGGAAGAACAACCATTCAAAGGTATAATTTACCTACTCTTGAGGCCTTTCAACCTTCCCCACTATATTTTCATTTCGTCATCTGAACTCTCTCTGTGGTTCTCACATTTGGTCCCGCGAGTTCGGCTCTTTAGGACAATCCTTTTCGCCCCGCGGCGTCACATCTACGTTACAACGCGCTTCTATTCACAGCAAGCTCCTTCCTTTCGCCGACCCGCAAAGCCGTCGCAGACGATCGCTGCCATCCCCCAGGAGCCGCCGTTCCTCTTGGCATATCATAGACCGCTCGCATCTTCTCTACAGACAAGGGCTTCTCAGTCCGTTCTTTTTGAGGTTGCTTGCCAGCCCCTATCCGTTTTCATCTGCTGTTGCATCAGGAGTGAAACCGTTGTGAAGAAAAAAAAAAATGCTTGAAAACGGGGCACTAATTTTTGCTCGACAAAGAAATACTAAATGCTTAAACTTTGTTTGTACAGTGAGATAGTGTATCTCAATATACGATGACATGTCGTAAGATTGCTACAACAAGCAGGACTTCATGAAAACAAAGCTCGAAGGCGCAATACTGCATTGAGTCCTAGGAGAGGTCATATGCTCACACCTTCAAATCGACGTAGTTTGACAATAAAAAAGCTGAAGACTCGGCTAATACGTTATTGTAGATGGGCTGTTTAATAAAGTGGAGTATATCATTATTGAGAAAACTATCAAACTTGCATTTAGACGCATTTAGCAAGAAAACCGTTTGATACCATAGTTGAAAAAGCTCACATTCAAAAATCCAACTAATTACTTACAATTTGAGTTATAAGTATGGCCCAGTTGCCTACGCTGGATTCTGTGCTGCAACACTTTGTTTGTATCACTGAATCCTGATGAACCTTGCACCTGAATCACTGAAAGCCAAACGAGTGACCTGTCTAAGCTAACTAACAACTACATGCAATAATAGGCTAAATTTGAAATAGCCTGTTTCTTGAACTGGCGGTACGGGGGATGTCGCTTATTATGCGAATACTGCGCCTGCGCCAAAAATACCAACACAACCCAGTATGGAAGTAGTTAGTCAAACGTAGTTATATATAATCATATGACTTACGACTGGCTCACGTCCTATGCCAGATGGCACATCTGAAGTCGCGACGTCTGCTAGCTTTGCGTATTTTAGCAAAAGTCGGATTATTATTATCATCATCATCATCATCGTCGTCGTCATTAATTAGACTTTGCCGAAATCGGACGTACTTTTGTCAGCTTAGCTTAAGTAGGATTCGAACTAGCGCGCAGACGCGTAGTGCGTTTCGTGCATGGAGCCAGCCGTGTATCTGACGGAAACTCGAAACACTGAGGTTAAGTTCCCTGGTGGATGCCACAGTGCAGCACATATTTTCCTATAACCTATTTGATACAGTGCATTTACATTATAGCGATAATAAGGCATTTTATTAATTAGTTTTACTTGTTCATCGTTGTCTTCATTAGGCCTAGCCATTGCATTTTCTCATCTGTGTAACTCTAACTCTGAAATTTATTTAACACTAACGTTAAAGGATAACCGGAGCCACGGAAGAGAAACAATTTATATCGGTACATTTGCTACATAATCTTTTATCGCATGACAACAATGAACCCACTGCAATTCATTCATTTTCGAAAAAAATATCAATAAAAGGCACCACTGCACCTTTTATAGCGGGATTAAAGGTGAGGTTATACGGGCCACTAATGGTTTGATGCAAAAAAATTAGTACTTGGACAGATTTAAAAGGGCTGTGATTATGGCTCGAGAAGTTGATGCTTTTTAATGATTTACCGAGCAAGTCATCGTAAGGTTATTCAATCTCTCATGAAGTTCTGTTACTTACTGAGAAGTCGGCACCGAAGTGGCAACCTTCGAGACGTCCCGAGAAGAATAGCACCAACACGCGCATCGTTCTTTAAAGCCAACTAAAACCTATTCCGCTGTAGTGGTAATGGATGTCTCGGGTACTAACAAACATAATTCATGGTGAATTCTAATCATTGATCATAATCATTTTCAATATGGTGTATTTGATAGGTCATCAACAAAGACAACCAGCTACACGTGTGGCACTTTGTATCTAACAATGGCATGGAGTACAACAAGCACAAACCTATGAATCTAGTTGGCCTTTACATTTGCCACTTAGTTGTTTCAATTTTTTTTGCAAAATTAGCATTCACGGCGTCCGATCATCTTATTCCATATATGCTCAAAGTTCAGTGACAAATATATAGTCAGACTTCACCTTGACCTATATGGTCTTCAGAATAGTTACTGTGACAATACATATTTGCTTCTCAAAATAATTGCTTTGGAATAGGCAAAATTGTGATAGAAGACAGCATGGTTGTCTTTATGTTTTATCGGCCAACGAAACACAGATCTTCCATTGATACAGCCTCATATTTTAAAACTTAAAATAATCTTTTTTTTTTTTAAACAAAAAAAGTTTAAATCAACGTTTCCTTCCTTTCCACAAAAACTAAGTGGTTAATGTAACAGCGCTTCCCCGTTCAGCAATTTAAACGATGTTAAAAATATGAAAGAAAAACTTGTGTGTGTCGCACATGTTCATATTTGTTTAGCCATGTCCACTTTGGCCAGCCACAACAAGCCGAATGCCAACGTGAATACACTGTCCCATCAAATAGTCAAACAGCGATAATAATTATTCTTGAATCGGATAATGGCTTTAGTATTGAATTTGGCCGAGTTTCAGCAGTAAACAAAGCTGGCATTGAGAGAGCACCACCGCGTATATACAATAGCTTAACATTAAATGTAAGGGACAGGCAAGTCGAACTTACGGGTGTTAGACCTACATCGTTTTGTTTCCTCACGACGGTGGCGGTCGCTTTGCCTTAATAAGGACGGGCTCCTTGATGGAGAAGGATATCGACTAAGTGACCTCCTCGGTGCTTATTCCTCCACCCCTTTCATTTCTAGCACTACTACCATGGCCTTCTTAACGACACTCTTGGTGCTTCAGCTCTCCTCTTAGCCAACGATTGGTCTTCGTCTTTACGACCCTCTATATAATCGCTGCGGGCAGTCACCGAATTGCCAGCACCACGAGCCCCGGCGCCGCCACTGAAGCTGTCACACTACCGTTGTTGCCGCAAGCGCCAACTTCTATGACGAAAACTTCTTCGTTTTCTTCTTGTTTACTATAGCTTCCAGACTCCCCTATTCAAGACAGCTGCCAATACTATATCCGCGTTATTTTTCCTCCCACACCTGGATCCCGTCCACGTTTGTTCGTTTGCTTTCTTCGGATCCTACGGCTACCGCTACAATCATTCTTACAACCTACAGCATCTGTACAGCCTTCATGTCTACAGGAGAAGACTGAGGCCGAAAAAGAAAAAGGTGCCAGTTATGGCAGACAACTGAACATCCAACCCTCTGTTTGCTGCCGCCGCTGTCATTACTATCCTGTGGATCCGTCTGTGGCAGTAGCTTACCTCCTCGACCGGCTTCTTCGGTTGGACTGAGTGAGCAGATTGTACTATTATGCCGTTCCACCTGTACTTCACAAGCAGGCATCTGTAAGGTAGTGCAGGGGGCAGCTAGGTTTTCAGACGCCCTAGTTAAGACTGCTGGCTACTCGGGCCCTATCGTGCAAACTAGGATCGGATTGAAATCGGCCAAGGCCAAGCGGGCTTTTCGCTTGGGAATTTGTCTGGGTTGTTTGCACAAGCGCGAGCCACGAAGGCTTCTTCGGAAACCATAGCACTCACAGAGGAGAGACCGGGGGTCCGAGTTCCTTTACTGCTAGGGAATCGCCGCCGCCGCCACCACATACAAGACCGAGCCAGTTGTTGTCCAGGGCCTTAGATAGGTGGCCTTTTTAACAGCAATGCTAAGTGCCCTCTCATCACTCAGGTTACACTTTCAAGTGTCCCATTACACGAGTGGTACATTAACCGCTAGTAGGGCGGCGACAGCAACAGCAGAACGTCAGTATTGCTAAGTCGTAAACGCTTTATGAGGGAAACGACTAATTGTCCGACAGTCAATCAGGGTCAGGTGCTGGGGCCGAGGCTTCGACGTGGCCCATTGGCTGGACGCGTCGGCATATGCAGCATGTAAGTCAGCTAGCTTAATTAGCTAGTCGTTATCTGCACGAGACTTTTCTAATACTCCCATGACCCTACACGAGCCCAGTAAGCCCCGCATGAATAAACCTGATTGGCTAAAAAGGATTGGATTGACTGAACCGTTGATTCAACAAACAGTACATGTGTGCATTTCATTATATGGGTTTTATTATAAGTACAGGCTAACATGGCCTGAACAACTTCTGTAGTGCGGTCAATTACCGAAGCCACCACATTCAATAAATTACTATAAAATCTAAAAGTTGTTAGGCTACTGAGAAATGTCCGAACTTTCTAATATTTGCAACGGATCGCAGACTTATCCAAAGTAGCAACATCTGATGTTAATTTAATACTTTTATTAATAAATGTAAGCGAAACAATAACTGCTAGTGATTTCAGGGTAGGTCCAACACGGGACAAGTAATAATAGGCGATAGGTCCTCAGTGATAAAAAAAATAAACCTTGATGCTTTTCTATCAAAAAAAGCTAAGAAAACTCTTCAACAAAAATGTCACCAACTAAGCTCTATATTGATTGTCTGGGATAACTTCACGATTATAAAGTAATTGATTCTGTCTGTCTCGACGCGTCACCGTTCTGATTTTTAACTATTCTCCGTCTTAACCCGCAATCCATGAAAACTCTAACACATACAAGCTTGATACTTTAAACCGCAATTGTAAAAGTAACGCGTTCTGGATATTGCAGAATGACAAGCGGCACTCATTCAACCGTGGTATTTTTGAAACCTGAATGTTTTTGTCTATGTTATAGTATAAACGCGGATGCAGTTACATGCACCAAAATAAGAGGCGTCCGATGCCTATAGACAGGACAATGAGGCTGACGGCTGAGAAGGAAAAAGAGAGGTCACACCTGACACCTTGCGGCTGTTAGCGCCCACAAGTTGGAAGTCTTCATAGGCTCTTTCGTACTCATTACGAAGGTCTGCAGTTATCCGTCAAACAGAGGGCGTCCTAATTGACTGGAACCGACCTTTTATGGGCTGTCGACAGATGATGCCAATCGCTAACGTCTGCCCCAATGTAATGTTAAATGACGAGCGTGCAAATTGAAAACGACCATAGATGTCCAACCTGGTTGCCTGTACTGCCATCGTAAACGCGGACGGAGGAATAAACAAGTAAGAAAACACTGATAACACCAACAGCACACGATAACGACGTCTAATTACCACAACAACGACGGCAGCGACGACAATAATAACAGAAACCACATCCTCACAATGGTTTTGGTACTAGGCGACAATTGCCAGACTTCAAGTATTAAACCGAACGTAATGGCGTTCCTTTGAAGACCCAGTTGCTCGTTTGCTTGCTCGAATCGAGTAAGCTGACGGGGCCGGAAGGCCCAACCAAATGACCGAGAATTTCGAATATATCGTTACTTGATGTCGACTATCTCGGATCCAGGCGAACGTAACTTTTGAGAATGTTAAGGAATATTCATAATAATAAATCCCATGCCACATGTTTTGTTAAAATAGAT